AAAGAAAGATCTGGAACCTTCCGCCATCTTGGATCCACCATTTTGAATTTTTGAGATGTATTCAGTTTTACTTAAAACACGTAGAAATCGAGGAAATCATGATGGAAAAAATGATCTGTGTATAAAATCCTATGAAGCAAAAAAATACGCAAGTTTTGAAATTCCGAGAGAAATTAAGACTGTTAAAAAATTGAACACCGCATCTGCCATTGGGTCATTTTAAACTCTTGTTTTTTTTTCCGAAATCAGTACTCTTGTCATACATCGGTGAACATTTCTAATGACTCTCCCTCACTGCGTATGCTCAGTTCAAGGCAGCATCGCTAAATTTAAATTGCGGAGCGAGGTTTATTGACGAGTATGGCCAATGTTTAAAGCTAAGAATTAAAAATAAAATGAGAAAGGGCAACCATCTGTATGAAATTGAAGTTCGCGAGGTCGATATAGGGAAGAAAAGGATCAAAATTCACTACGAAGGTTTTAGCGAAGATAAAGATCAGATGAGTGGCGTGACTATGGTTCTTTATTTGACCTCGAAGGATTTCCCTTCATTAGAGTAAATGTTGAATTGATATTTCGGTCTTGTTTTCCATCCGTTCAACAACTTAGCCAGTGATTTTTCTCTTGGCTTGCTCGCTCTTCTTTAAGCCGTTTGCAGTAATGAAATCTTCTTTTTGAAGACGTTTAGAATACGGCTGTTAACAACAACGTCGCCAACACTAGATTCTTCAAAAATTCTTTTCACGATGGCGGCTATGGCGGACACGTAACCGATTTCTGCGTTTTCATTCTCCTTGCCATAGTGTATAAACGAGAGAGCTGAAAGAAATAAAATGCACATTCCGGCAAGTTAATATTATAAGAAATTATTGACTCAAAACGCAAATCTGATTTTAACCTGGCAATATTTTCAAGGCTGGTATAGTAACTTTGTATCAATTCACATCCTACGGCCTCAGTACCTGAGCCAAACCTTGAAACAGAGATAAAAGGTTCACGGAAGTACGATAATATTAATAGGCACACTTACTTGTTCATTTCGTGTCGGAATGAAGGAACCGTTGCTTCCCGTACCATCCGCATTGCCAATTGCTTTGCTGCCCGGTATTAAAGACAGAACCAACAGCAGCAAACACGCGACCAAGTAAAACTTCAGGACCATGGGTCCTTGGAAAAATCTTGATCAATGTTGATGAATTTGGTACCGAAATGCGCGGAATATTATACACTTTTTAAATCTGGTGGTAACTAAGTGATCCCAGTATGCACTGGGACGCTATGCCCCAGTTTTCCCCATCCGATCTATATTTACCCTTTCTGGGCCTTCTGAAAAACACTCAACTTGCCAAAAGTAATCGCCAAAGTCCGTGGATTTTTTTCAGCAATCGACAACAAAACAAAGGACAAGATATGTGTTAAAGGTGTAATTTTCGAATTTCGGAGGTAACTTGTCATGAATCTTCAAACAAAAAGATAACGAAAGGAAAAACTACAATTTTTTCGAATATTTTGACCGAGATCTACTGTGGGCGTGGTCACTGGAAATATGAGAGACCTTTTGTTTAATAACAAGGAGTTTCATATGAGTCACTAAAATAGCCGAATTACACCTAATCTGTAACAAGCAGATGTAGACAAGAGTGTCAACTCACTTGAGCGAAACTCCTCTGTCTTCATCAGACATATTGTAGGATATAAACCAAATTCTTCGTTTTACAAGCACGTGACAAGGCGGTGATGTTGCTGGTCAATCTAGAATTTTTTTCCAGAAACGTTCCACAAAAATAATGTTTACTCCCCAGCGGAGAGGAATGGTTTTATTAGTTCTTGATCACCAACATGGCCATCGTGACGTCACGTGAAAACCACCAATATGAACTACGTGACTATATCCCCACAGAGATACCGTAAAATTCCTACAATAAGCCCCTCCAAATATAAGCCCCCCAAACCGGTAACGCGAAAAAACCTCCGTTAAATCGCCCTTCCAAATATAAGCCCCCGGGGGCTTATACTTGGAAAATTGCCCTCAAATACAAAGTAAAACAAAGCAAAAACGGTAAATCTACTTCCAACTATAAGGCTAACGCAATCGATTTTGAAACGCAAATTTCTCTCCGTAGATAAGCCCCTCCGAATACAAGCCCCTCCAAAAATAAGCCCCGGAGCTTATTTTCGGAATTTTACGGTAATTTGGTGTCTTCTTGTAACGATAATTATTTTTCAGTGTTTTTCGAAAAACTTTTAAATTCAATTACTAGTAATTTACATTGGCCAGCCAATTAAAATTGTCTTAAAGAAATTATTTGAAACTTAAGTTCCACATTTATCAAAACAAAGGCACTTCCTTGATCGCTCTCACAGATTTGGCTATATCTCGGTAAAATCGACATGGCTCATGGGCCTCAGTTTCGCCTATTGCTGTCAACCAAGTTAGAAACTAGGGGCTTTGGGTAACAAAAAAGTAATCTATATGAATTTTTTTCCCTAGGCCTTGATCTCGTTTCATTGTGGCGAGCTCACTAGTGTAGTGAAACCCATACGTTCCATAATCATGAAAAAATGTAAATACGCTTAAAGCGATTTCCTGTCACAACAACATATTATTTCTTTCAATATTAAAAACGTCACTGATAGATGCAAGCGATGATTTATTAGAGAGGAAGAATGTTAGCCAGGGCAAAAATAATAGCAAGTCTTAGTTTTTCATCTTCTTAAGAGCTGTTGTTGTTATACCTTTGTGCTTGGGGCAAGCAACTTCGGGAAAACGGTATGAATTGTCATTTCCTAGTCTTAAATTTAACACCTAGATGTGATAAAAAAAACCCGAAAATCTATTCATAAAATATTTTTTCCTTTCTTTTTTTTTTTTTTTTGGTACTTGCGCATAGAGAAGAGGACCTACAGTCAGTTGTTATTAGAATTATTAATACTAGTTTCTAAAATCACAGAATGATTACCAGATTATGCGAAACAAATTTTAAAAGGGCATAGAAAGGTCTCCAATATCTAGCATTTCAAAATGACTATTCAATAGATAAATACATAGAAATAAGTCACGATTCGACTGTAACGATAATCATTTTTGCTAGGGAAGTTATGCTTCTTTTCAAAAAAAAAACTTTTTTATGAGTAGATGGTGCTCAGTCAGTTCTTTTTTTAACATATGAAGTTGTCCGTTTTAGTTTGAACAGTACTGAAGGGTTCAACTCACAAATTAAGATGGCGTCAAAGACATCCGCTGATGACATAATTTTTATAGTCTTTAGGTTCATAGTTTTGTTTTGGCTTAGCTGTGTTCAGATTCCGCCAAAAATGAAGAGCCTATAATTATTGCACCGATCCATCTCATAGCTGTAACTTGGACAGTCGAGTCGAGTTTTGTGTGAACAGTAACAGACCCTTTCCACGTCAGTGTGTTTGTTTCTGTTACATATTTCCTCCTTCAATATTAAAAACCTCACTGTAATTACAATTTGATAAGTGAGAAGGCAAGATACGGCATAGAAAATTAAAATAAACACAGTTAAATTAAATTAAAAATTGTAAAGATTTTGATCTTGGTCCCTTAAGGTACAGATTTAGATTCAATTTGATTTAGCGATATAATGGCTTTTTCCTGTTTTAAAAGGCATGAAAACCTGCATCACTTGCTGGCCGATTTTTCTATTTTTAAAAAGTTATTTGTCAATTTTTTATACCTTGGGGCTAATTATGTTTTCCTAAACTGATTACGTTATTCAAAAATAAATTAAGGCTGATTTATAACACAGACAGTAATTTCATTTGGCAAAATATTCTTATTCTTATTTTTATCAGTATTCAGTAAAATCTGTTTTTATCCTCATTTCGAAAATGGCAGACTATACTAATTGACGACTCTGAATGGGATTATAAATGTTTAAGATTTAGTCTAAAAAACTGTTTCGCAAGCCCTTTGCATTTGTTATTATTATATTTTAGTTTGTGTTATATAATGTGCTCAGCCACAGACTAGCTATAATGTTATCGACAACTAAATCTCTAATCTGAGGAGATCCAGGGTTTTCGCTCTTGTCATAAGTTCATGTTTAAATTGTTTTACTGAACAACCCTATTATAGTGGGGAAAAGTGCGACTTGTTGTTGAATTCTTTAACATCAAACGTGGCGTAAACATGTAGAGCCGTTCATTAAAATATTTGATGTTTCGTTATATTTAAATAAAGTAAAATTTTGACAATAGCCCAAGGCGTTACATTATATTTTAATGGCCTTTTTTGTTGTATTCGGAGAGTGCTTACAAACGGGTTTATTATATAATAGGACTGCGTTTCAAAATTCTGTGGTCCTATAATTTAAAAAAAGTTGTGTCAAAACTTTTTCAGTATATCCAGGATAACGTAAGCCAAGCACAACGCTATAGAAAGTTTGTATTAATTTCGTATCTCGGAATTCATGATACAAGCTTTAAAAAACGGTAGCACAAAATTCACAGAAATATAACGCACGAAAACTCACGGCAAGGTTCGAAACTGAGGGGTCTATTTTGGATTTAAGGGGAAGTCCTTATTCCCTGAGATCTTTTTATAACAGGCTAGCTTTTAGACAATCCAACTTTGAGTATTTAAGGGGAGGGTCAATTTTCTGAATTTTTACAGTTTTACCGGCAGATTTCTCTCTTGACCCTGCTTGGTTTCTTTTCAGTGGTTTTGTTGCCTTGGAAATAATAAGCCAATCACGATAACTATCTCAGCAAACAATCGTTGTCATTTTGTCTCAAGAGCTCAAAGGTTTTCAACAAAAGATATCTTTATTCTGTTTGCATATCGTATACGGATGCAATCGCTTATGATAATCCTTCCAACGGAGAAATAATTTGAAACTAGCCTTATTTCGATTTTATGTTCGTTCGGGTGAACATGTCATAATATTGATCATTTCATGTCTTGTTTTAAATAGTGGATAAGATTTTTTCACTATATCCAAGTTTCTTGAAACAGTTCATCTAGTCGCTGAGAAGCAGGTGGAAACTACACATCCATGAAGACTCTTCCGTATGATTAGATCAGTGCAATTTAGAGTCTTTTCTAGGAGTGAGGTAAGGCTGAGAGTAAAATCAAAAGAAAACGGTCCAAATGAGTTTTCGCAATGTTTTCGAAATTTCAGAATAAGAATAATGTTCATTAAGAGCCTACAGAATGTCAGATTGAAAGAAATAAGTCTGCTTCACCCATACATCTTTAAGCTCATGAGATAATATTGTAATGATTCTGTAGATTTCTTTGTAGTGATCAACTTCCATACCTTCTTTTAAAGAAAGATTTATGTGTAAAATAGAAATTCTAATAATTTTATTATACCATGGTTTTCAAAACCTTAGATTTAAATCTGCTGGAGGTTTTTGTGTATAATTTTCTCCTAGTCGACTCAAAACAGTACCTTTCTTCACTAATTTGGGTTTTTCCTGCGGTTTTAATTCCAGACGAAAATGCCTTAAATCACAAAGATAAATCTAAAGATTTATGCTTAGTTCATTAGTTTTAATAAAACCATACAGAAACATAAGCGATCCAAAATTAACTAAGTTGTCGTGTTTTTTCAACTGTGCAAACTTCATTCCACCCAGCGTTAACCCTTTAAGCCCAAAGAGTGATCAGCATCAAATTTCTCCTTGTAATATCAATGCTTTGTACAACAGAGTGGTCATGAGAATTAGAGACATGATCACACAAGATGAATTTGCTTGATATTTTATCAACTTCCTTCCACTACTTCTGCAAGGAAATGAATAGGGGCAACAAATGGGAATTCAAATTTTGATCTTAGGGTCTAAAGGGTTAAGACAGACTGGAAAACACAGCCAGCGGCTTACAAAAATCGCAAGAACTGGGGAAATCAAAACTGGAAGACAAAAATGAAGCGTTTAGAGCCATGTTACAGCTAAATCTGACTCGAACGGGAATGAGCCGTACTATTTGAAACTACAACGAAATATACTGCGCGCCATATTAATGGTAGGGGAGGGATGGCTCTTTTTGAAAGTTTTCCTCTTTCTGAATGCGTAAAGCTCTTACGGACCTGCTTGTATGCCTTCATTCATTTAGCTATATCCTTTTTCCTTGTTTTATTAAGTGATGTTGATATCCTGACATGGCAGTCTTTAGAACAAAGGATGCATGACATTTCTTTGATTATTAGATATAGAATTTAACGGAAGAGAAGGAAATGACAGAGGTTTCAAAATTCGTTTGTTAAGGCAAACGGATGAAGTGACATTTCTAGGGAACTACTTCAAAAAAGACAAACACTCCTCGCCGAAATTAAAATGATTTGATCCTGAAACGGTGTTAAATTTGTGGCTCTAAATTAAAAGATTAACGGAACATGGCTTTACACAATCGACTCCTGCGTGATAACTCGAACCTTAAAGGGAAATCGAAAAAAGTTCGAGTTATCGGGAGCTTGAAGAAAATAGCCGGGAGTAAGGAAAAGAACAGTTTTTACCGCACATTTAATTGTAGAAATTTTACGTGAAAATTAAAAGACACGTCTAGATTATGAATCAGAAAGTAGCGTAACAAAACATTGCCTAAATAGAGCATGAGTTTTACTGTTTTAAGAATTAAAGCCTTTTCACGTTAGATTTGTGGCAATAAACATCAGCCTCCAGTGCTAGATTAAACTATACGTTAATGGGAAATTCAAAATTCAATGTTTCGGATGCCAGTAGACTGTTTTTTCCCGACTTTTTAAGGGCTCAAAACATGGTTCGAGGTATCGAGGGCAAAATTATATAGAAATGATATCATGAAGTAGTTTTTGTTGCCGTCTCAGAGGGGGAGGTTCGAGTTATCAAGGGCTCGAATTATCGGGAGTCAACTGTACTTGGTTTTTGGTGAGAATAATTTTTTTGAATTAAAGCTTTTTCCTTTATTATTTAAGAACACTAAAACAGAATTTATCAATGAATGAATACCCGCCAATTAACAAGAAAATCAATATATAAGCTTATTTGACCAAGAGTGGAGTGAAAATGACAGGATATATATTGGCCATAGTTCTTGTTTTATGGATGGTGGTTAACTAAGGGCCTGTTTATAAGGAGTGGGGGACCCCGGTCTAATGGGGTTGGTTTCTTTTGTTTTCACGCTCTGGGGGACACAAAACAAAATAAACCTACCCCACTAGACCGGGGTCCCCCACTCCTTGTAAACAGGGTCTAAGACACTCCCCCACCCCAAGTGTCATCAATATTCGCAAGAAAGGGATTATGGTTAATAAAAAAGCACGAGGTTGGGTTCTCGTGCGCTTGTCCTTTGTTGTTGTTGTGATGCTGGTAAAAAATGAATAGTCGATTGGGTAACAACTCTTGCCTCTTTATAACTTTTATTAAAACTTCTAAGCACTTGCTAATTCATGGAAACAACAACGTTGCGTGTACGTGCTGACATGGAGAAATTTTAAGCAAACAAGCGATGACCTCTTCAATTTGCTCACGTATTAAACAAGCGTCTTCACCTTTAATTGATTCCTGATTAAATTTACCCCATAACGCAGTTTTGTACGTGCTCCTGAAATTTGTCGAGTGCAATAAATTATTTGTCTTCCAGCTCGTTAGTAATTAGTCCTTTGGCTGTGGTGTTTAAGGCTTTTTTAAGAGAAAAAAATGCCACAGTTAATTTTTTTTTTTTGCAAAATCAGTACTAATTCACCAAAAGTTATTGTTTTTTTTTTTGTCTTAAATTGATTAATACATTGGTGAAGAACGTTCACTTTCCTTATAGCGAGAGCTAATGGAGGCGGTTAGTTGCAACTGCATCAAAATGGTAATAGGACTGAACGGAATCCAATTCTCGCCCAATGTAAGTGAATCCAAGACATGTCTTGAATTCTGGATTCCACGTCATGGATCCAGGATGCCAAGTACTGGATTCCGGATCCTTTGTCAGTTGAACTTGGGATTCCCGATTCCTCTCGCTGAATTTCGGATTCCAAAGCCAGGATTTCGGATTCTACAAGCAAAAAGTTTCCGGATTCCCTTACGTGGGGTGGCGACTCGGTCTGTAATCATACGAGTAATTAAACAATTCGGATAACTGCGTAGTGGAGTCCAATTTGTTCAATCATAACTTAAACAAAATATTTGATCATGTTTAAACCTTTTTAATCATCACAAGGTCTTCCGAGTGCACCCACTCAAGAGCAACTATCTACAGTGCGCGCGATTGCTCGCACTGTCCAATTCTAGCAATGACGCACACTGGAGTCGCAGTTAAATTGTGATATTCGATTCATGCCGAGATCAGGGCTGCCGATGGCCAAACAGATCAGAGAAATTTAGTTATAGTTTTGATTAGACCGGCGTCAGAAAACAACTAAGTAGAAAGTTGAAATAACTCAGTAGCTAAGGATAATTATAAAAAATGGTAAACGCGGGGAGGAACGTTTTGAAATTTTATAGATGATTTATTCAGTAATCAGTTCTATGACATAAGCTTAATTATATAGCACCCTGAGGTAAATAATCTAGTGTTGTCAAACACGACTAATGGACAAATTTAATTATTTTCCGTCAAGTGTTTAAATTCGAATGAACTACCTGTCGCCAAATTAAGCGTTTGTTTTACTTGGAATTAACTAAGTATATGAAGCTTAATAAAAATTCGTCACTGATATACCATATACTAATCCCTCATGTTGTATTGATTGTAGGATGCATTGATTTTATAGTATCGCTGAGATATATATAGAGCCAGCTTTATCTCAAATTCACGGCTTTCTTTTTCTTTACCAATTTTCCTTTTCTTCTAGGTGCCGTTTATAAATGCCAGTATTTTCCTTCCTGAGGAGTCTACAAATGTCATATTACACGAAGGTAACTGCCGTGAGGTATTAAAGTGCAACTGGTAATATATCGCACGGTTTAGTTCAAAAGCTGCAGGAATTAACCAGGAGTTCTGCCGAAATAATTCGTGTCTCATAACTGGACCGTGTGAAGGTTGACTTATGGGGCCACACCAGACCCTGAAAGCTACCCAACGTCCAAAGTTACGTTGATGTGCAAACTTCTATAGAGCATTATTTATTCACGAAGGTGCATGTTAACTACGCTGTAGGATCTCTCAAGGAAAATTCAGAAACATTTAGAGAACACACGCTTTAAAACTCCTGAAAAAGATTGTGGTAATACGAAATTTCAGCGTTAACCCTAAACTAAAAGGAACCGCCAATTCATCAAATTTGAGGACGTATAGAAGAAGATTCCATGCTCTACTAAAACTTCATGGATGCCATTAATACAACTGCAATTTTCAATAATACAACTTCCTGCGATGACGGAAGTTGCATGCCAGTGGGTAAAAATCCTTTTGTCTTCAACAAATGGGAAAAAACGTTAATAATTCTCGCAAATGCTGCGATATTTTGCCTCGCCATTCCAGCCAATGGAATCGTAATCGCAGTAATATCACGTGTGCAGAACGTGCGTACACCGACAAGTACATTTCTCTTAAATTTGTGCGTCGCAGATATCTTAATCGCATCGCTTTACATTCCGTTCATTACGGTCGACATGTATATCACTAGTCACTGGATATTTGGAGACTTCATGTGCCGATTGGTATCATTTGTATTCTACCTAGCCACGTATTTCTCGATTTTACTTCTCACCGCTATATCGGTTGAGCGATACATCTCGGTTTGTCTTCCAAAAAGGCTACGGTTGACCGCTAAGAAAGCGTTTATAACCACTGTTGTTTTATGGCTTATCGCGGTGTGCCTTGCCATGCCGCTTTTTATCGTCAAAACTACAAAAGTCCATCGTCAAGTCGAGTATTGCGTACTAACCTGGTCGAAAAAGTCAGCTAAGATTTACCACACTGTCGCTCTCACCCTGTTTTACATAATGCCTATTGCGTTCATGGGAATGGTGTACTATAAAATTGGAAGAAAAGTTTGGTCCAGTGCGAACAGGACAAGTTCAATGAAGCTCTCGAAAAAACGTTCATCTCACTCCAAGCTACGCTTTACAAAGATAGCCCTTGCTATTATTTTGAGCTTCACGATTTCATGGACCCCACGGAATGCAACCAAGACACTGCATTTGTTCGATAAGAACTTTCCCTACTCATACGAGTTTGCGCATATCGTGTATCCCATAATTTACTGGGTGGCCTTCTCCAACTGCGCTGTCAATCCGCTAATCTACTGCTATATGAGTCAAAACTTTAGGAAAGCTTTTAAGATTTTTCGGAATCGAAGGACACGAAGTTATCTTGTAGAGTCGATGAGTGTCATGTCTAGATCAAGCTCCAAGCGGTTTAGCAGACGAATTCAAAAGCCTGCAGATGAAACCTTTCCTCAAGAGATGAATGGGGTACCTAACGAACAAGAGGATCTTCACACAAACTCGGAGGTTCGGGATGGATCCCAAGTAAGCAAACATGAGATGCGAAACAAAAAAGATTTATATTTAATAGTGTCAGCGCTATAGAGTGGGTTTTCATCATTGAGTGTCAAAAAGAACATAACCAAGATAATTATTTTGGCCATCTCTGACTACAGAAGCGGATAATTCAATAGAACAATCATAAATATCGAAGCAAATGAACGCAGCCGCGCCGCAGACTATAAGGGCGGGAAAACGTGTGCTGTCATCCTTGGCTTTTTCTGATTGGTCAAAAATGGCGGGAGATGTGTTAGCTGATAAATCGTAATGACTGTTCGCCACTATAGAAAGAAGTGAACATTTAAGCTGAAGTGCGTCCCTCAAATGTTTTTGGGTTCGTTTATTGGAGACGCGGTGGTCAGCTACCAACCAATTTTTTTGCTGTCTCCAGCAACAGCCCCAGAAGTCTCTGCGAGAGTTGACTCAGCCCAGTTCCTTTCTCGTTCCTTAAAAGAGATGATAAATGTTAGGATCAATTTAGGTTTCGGGGAAACTGCCCACCTACCCCTCCCCTAAGCCATCATTTTGCTCTAAGTAAGAAGTAAGTACAAATGTTAGCTTAGGGGAGGGGTAGGTGGGCAGTTTCCCAGAAACCTAAATTGATTCAAATGTTATTTCCAACGCCCAATAAAATACCACACTAATGAAACTAGACTAACTATAACTTAAAACTATAAGCAGCTGTATAAGGCCTCTTTCGATATATTACAATTAAGAACGAGATAGCGAGCCCTGGAGGACTGGCAAATGTATGTATTGAATATTTTCATTCACTTTCTTTGTTTGTTCGCTCCAAGACGTACTATAGAAACGAGAGGGGAATTTTTAAGCCGAAGAGCGTCCCTCAAATGTCTTTGGGATCGTTAATGGGGACGGGCGGCTCATCTACTACAGGGGCGGATCTAGGGGGGAGGGTGCAGGGGGTGCGCACCCCCCCCTGAGATGACCTGCGGTTTTCTAATACAACTGGTATTCTGCAAAAAAAAAAAAAACTATGTGGTTTATTGGTGTTGAAGTAGAGCAAGAGACGAGTGCACCCCCTCCTAAAAAAAAAATGCTGGATCCGCCCCTGTACTAGAGCCCTTAAGCAACAATGACGACGACGGCAGTGAAAAAACGTCGCTAAAAAAATGAATTTGCGTTCTTTCAAACTTAATCGCGTCGGTTTGGTCCCGTTCAATATGTCAAATGCAGGCGACTTTTCCTGGAGTTGAATTCTTAAGGATTTTATTCAAGTTCAAAGAGAGGAAGGAAAATTCGTCCACGTCCTCCATAAAACGTCAAATTAGGAGGTTTCACGTCGTAGTCGTGCAGTGGACGTCAAAGAAATGTGGTAAAAAGCGTGATGCACGTGCAGAGCTGTTGTTTTGATCATTAAACCTATTGTTCGACGTCATCGTCGTCGCTGTAGTTGCTTAAGCTCCCTGTAACCAATTTTTCTCACTGTCTCCAGCAACAGTCCCAAAAGTCTTTACGAAAGTCAACTCAGCCCAGTTCCTTTCTCGTTCGTTAAAAGAGATGATAAATGTTATTTCCAACGCCCAATAAAATACTACCCTAATGAAACTCGACGAACCATAACTTAAAACTATAAGCAGCTGTATAAGGAAGACTGGCAGATAAAGAAATTAAATACGTTTCTTCACTTTCGTTGTTTGTGCCCTCTAACACTTACTATGATGCTGATTACAATATTGCGAGAGTGGCCTATTACAAAAAACAAATTTGTAGCAGTGCTTTTTCCATTGAAAGAGACTGACGGTTTTATTATATGTGATCCAGTTTAAGCTTAAAATTAAGATAAACTATGAAGTTTTCTTGAGAATTTTATTATGACTAAGTTATTAATCTGTTGCTTTAAGAGTGTGAATTAAAGGTTATATGTAAAAAGATTGTGAATAAGCTTAAAATTAATGCATTTATTAGTCCTAAGATGGTGGAAATTAAAGTCAGCTTCACTAGTAAACAGGGGCGTACAGCTTAAACCATTTTAACCAAAACGATTCCAATATATTCCAAACTGAGGCCGACAAACCTTGTTATTCTTAAGCCGTTATGATAGTTGGATAGTTTGCCGTCGATGCCTCGTTTCAAGATAAAATTTCCTTTGAATTCCGCAGATAAGAGCGAGGCAAAGAGGGCTAATTAACATAGATATATAAAATATCGTAGTAATGCCGCTATTTGGAAAAATGTTCAGCATGTATTTTCTCCCAGTAATTTCACCGCTTTTGCAGTATCGGTACAATTAGAAGTGTATAGAGATACAGTGTGGAGAATACGCTATTCATTACCTTGAAGCTCTTGAAAGACCTCGCGGAACTGATTGGGAAAACAATGAACAAACAAAGTGACAATAAAACCTAGCCCGAAAACAAATGAGCTGCGACCCATATGGGTCCAATTTAATTAGAGGTTCTGAAGAGATGCGAGGCAACTGGCAACTGGCCTATGTTTTTTGCCATCTTTGATTTGTGTAGTATAGATCATGGCTTCCATACATTGACCAGTTCGCGAACGTTTATCGAAACTTCTGGAAAAAGCGCCTTTAGATTAGGTTAGTTGCTAAGTTTGAGAATATTATGTAACGAAATAAAGAAGATGTGACTCAGTTTGCGAAGTCGCGATAACTTGCACTGCCGTTTGTATGGTGCTGGTGGTAGTGGGGGGGGGAGGTCAAGTTTTTATCCCCAACCTTGTAAAATTTTCGTGACTTTGCAGTGTCATAACTTTGCATATCTTCGACAGGTCGCGGCTTTCAAACTTAGAAAGTTTATTAATTTTACGGTGCTTTCTCCAGCAGTGTCAATGAATATTCGCTTGGTGCCCCTTGACATAAAAAGGCGGGAATCACAAGCAGTGCTGTGGTACTAGGGTGGTCCTAGACGTGCCTCTTATACTCCGAGTTGCTTAGTGAGCATTCAGGGAACACTGATCATCCCCAATCCCCCAGAATACTACAAGGTGCACAAAAGTCTACTGGAATATAAAGCTTTTCCTATGTTTCTGAAATTTTTGTAGGGGCGTGTTATCTTGTGGCACATTTCGGTATGTACCACATGTACATCTCGTTACGAATGTTTATGACCGCTGGCAAAGTAAACACCGAATCGAAGACGCCGTAATCCCTAGTTTGCTGGATTTTCACAGGAATGTCAACTTGGTTTTGTTTCTTAAATACATTTAATTACTTCTGTTCGCAAGCTGCCTTGAAGTCTCAATACGTCCGACGTCCGAGATTAAAAGCTTTTGTCTAACACAGTTGTTTTTATAGATAATGGGTTGCAGTTATGGATTTTAATTTCCTCACAGCTGCAAATTTCCGCCTTGTTAACTTTGTTTTGAAACTGGCTGAGTTGTTAAGTTGCATTATTTTTCTTCCAGGCGATGTCGATAGCCAGGAGTTTTTTATACGTGTTTTTAGTCCATGATTCAGCTCTCTTTTTCAGTAGCTCTCTAGGAAACGGACCCAGCAAAGAATGTGTAAAATTGAGTCGTGACCACGCCTCGATCGTTGGAGTTGAAGGTTAAGCCAAAAGTGGTTTCAGTTGATTTGCGTCTCGAAGTAAATGAAGCGAAATGAAAACAAGAATTCAGTAAACAAGGTTAGTGAAGACTGAAGAACGTAATGAAGGGAACCAAAGGGATGTTTGCTGTGTGTTATAGATGAAGACAAGCTCTTCACTGGCTTTGTAAAACGACGGATGTTTGCCTGCGTTTTAAGTTAAATTGTTTGAAATGAACAATGTCTTAGCCTCCAAAGAAGACAAAATTGAGATGAACTCGAAGTTACTTGTTTCTGGCAAAATTTCCGATGGATAATTCAGGTCAGTGACTATTTCTTTGAAACGCAGCTCACCGAAAAGGAAACGCAAGAAGGCGCATTTAAAAAAAACTGAAAGTGGTGTGCGTGTAAAGTTCATCTTAATTGCTTTGGTAGAAATTGAATTTCAACAGTATCCTGTACAAATGAAGTCTCCCACCCTGAACTATTTTACATATTGCGTGTTTCTGTTAAGTCTATGTTCCAAGGAAAGTTCGAACGTCACATTATTGCAAACAATTACAATTGAGGAAATTGACTGATTGAGACTAATCAAAAGATTTCATTCGCTTATATACTAAATTAAGGCAACATTTTTAGAAACTGCCATCTGGCGTCGGATACGACGATTTAACTATACTATGATCTCACGAACATTTTTTTTTTCTGTCGCAAATCAAATGATCAGTTCAAAACATGTACAAAACCAGCTCACGCAAGCAATTGAAAGGGCTCCATAACTCGATCATGTTTTTTTCCGCTCATCAGAACATCTTCATTTCATATGCTTTTTCTTTAGAGAGTCTAAAAATAAAATTAAAATTAAATCGTATAACTAAAGATAGTCACCTTTATGGATAAATACAGCAGTTTGGTCGTTTCTCCCTGGGAGATATGTTTGTTATTTTGTGCTACGGTTCCCAACAGTCCAGTTTATGGAAAAATGAACATGTCTTTCAAATGAAAGATCTTGATTCAGATAAGTTCTACTCTATTAGGCGATGTTCGTTTATTTATTTCTTGATTTATTTTAGTAGTTTATAATTTGGATATGATCCACACCTACATCTATGCATTTTAGGGGTTTTTTCGCGGCAAAAGATAACATGTGTTAGGGCCATATGTTCTCTTAGCGCGAAATCCACGTGGAATTCCAAATATAGCAGTTTCGGTTTTAAACCGCCTAAAAGAAACAAATTACAACGAAATGGACTAGGCATGCATATTACTTAAAAGTTTTATCTTGTATAAGGTGGACCAATTAATTAGTGATGACCAATTAATTAGTGATGAAAGATTTGATAAGCAGAATAACAGCTTCAACTTCCTGTAATCTTCCCTATTTACAGTGAAGTCTTTCAGCAACTCATATTGTGTCGGCATAAAAGTTACCTTCATTTTCTAAGAACGTTAAAACTCTCAAGACGAAGTTGTCACCGCAGAGAACGCTTCATTTCAAAATCTAATATACTCAATTTAACATAGCGGTCATGATCAAAAG